CCCCTGCTGCTACCCCCCCTCCCTACCCGGACTCTGGGGGCACCGCCGGGGGACAGACACCCAGCAGGTAACCCAGGCCTGGCTTTACCCACCCTGTCTGATTTTCTTCACACCCTCGCGGAAGACCCCTTTCCCCCTTTCTGTCTCCGATTTCCCCGGCCTTGCCTTTTTCCTTAGCCCTCCCTCGTTCCATCTCCCTCAGTTGGGCTTGTCGCCCGCTGGCCGCGCCACCCGCCGTCTCGTGCAGCCTGACTCCTTTCCCCTCACCCCACAGTCTGTGCTCCCCTGTTCTGCCAGAGGCACCTTTTGGGGCTCTAGTCTCGCTGTTTCTCCGGCTTCTTCCCTTCCGATATGGTCCCCCTGGGGTTCTGAGGGAGGAGGGAATCCCTGTCCTTTAATGGCTCCCCCCAATGTCCCCCCTGCCCTGTTCTCCTTGTAGCAGTCTCTAGGGATGGGAGAGAACCGGAATTTGGAGGGCCCTCTGGAGGGGCAGGGGGCTACGTGTTGCCGGGGAAAGGGGCAGTGTGTGAGGAGGGGGTGGGGGTTTGTTTGAGACGCGGCTGCCTCTCAGATGTCCCTTTAAACGGCCCTCACATTTCTGGGGACTGTGGGGGGGGGGAGGTGGCAAGCCGCCTGCCTGGGGGGTAGGGCCTTTGGTTCGTCCACACAATCAGAGGTGGTAATGATTTAAAGGGACAGCCTCGGTGTGGCCGCTGCCACCCAGCGCCGGCAGGAGGGGGAGCTGGCAGGCAGTGTCTGGAGAGGTTTGGCTGATGAGCAAGGCATTTGAGGCTGTCTGGTGCAAGGCCTGAAGGTCTGGGACTGCACTGTGGCTGGGAAGGTGCAAGGAGCGGTTGACAGCCTGCTCGGTCTGGACTTTCTCCAGAACCCCATCTTTGGGTACTGTGACTCCATGATCAAGAATCCTTGAGTCTGAGCTATACAGCCTCTGGGCCTCCAAGTGAGACCACTGGTCTGGGGACTTTGGAGCTGGCCCTTTAGTCTCCCCTTTTGTTGTTTGGTTCTGTGCACAAGAAAGCCC